GGAGAGGAGAGGAGAGGAGAGGAGAGGAGAGGAGATAAGAAAGATAAAACTCTAAGAGCATGCCCTCAGTGACCTACTTCTTATGGCCTTCAGTTTCCACCCAGTAGAGTTGTCCTTTCAAATTATTAATCTATCAAATTATTCACCTAATCCATCAAATTGTTAATCCATTCAAATTATTAATCCATCAAATCATTAACCTAATCCATTAATTASGTTAGTTCTCAGAATTGAATTATTTCAGCTCTGAACATTCTTACATTAACATGTGAGCATTTGGGGGAGACACTTTATATTCAACCCATACCTGTATTCACCCAAACTGAGCTAATGATTCAGCCTCCCAGGATTTGAGTCTTTTACTTGTCAAATTAGGGATCTAAGCAGGGAAGTCTTCATGGGACTTGCCCTGTCAGATTAACTTCAATTCAAAACTCCTTTTCCTTCTGAGATATTTGCCCCACCACTTCCAGTTTGAATACCCTTTGAGAGGACCCTATTTCCAGGATAGTCTTAAAGAAACTAGCTTGCTTATGACTTCACAGTACTACAGGCTTCTTTCTCCCATGTCTGCCTTCTGGATCCCTGGGAGTAACAGACACCTGGCAGAAGATTTTAAAGACATCTTTCCCCATCTTCTGCCCAGCATTTGTACCCTGTGCAAAGGGTTCAAGGAACAGCTCAAGCCCCTTGATCTGGCAGTTTACTCAGGTTCTTCCCTGATCACTTCTTGACACCCCAGGCTTTGTGTGGGGTCACATGGGTCCCAGTTCCCCAAAGATAGCTTCTCACAAAGACCACATACCCTTTGCTCCCATTTCCCTTGATAGTTCCTASACTGGCCATGAGAGCTCCCTCCCCTCTCCAGTCTTCCCCATGTACAAGGTAGAACAATAAGGACAGTTTTKGGCTAGTGGAACCATTAGCAGTTAGCTGGTGTCAGGGAAGGAGAATCATTCCTCACAGTTCCTCAGGGTGACCCATCTTCCTAGTTTGCCCAGAACTATGCTGGTTTTAGTACCCAAAGACTAGGTACTTTGGGTACTAAAATCAGTACCCAGGAAACCCTTCATTCCTGGGCAAAACAGGACAGTGGGTCATCCTGAGCCCATTGTCTCTCTTCTGTATAAAAGGAGTTTGGCAAACCACAGCCCCCCCCACCCCCCGCAGACTCCTTCCAAACCCCTTCAGTATTATTCATATAAAGGGAGCCCTCCCAGGATCAGAAGAGGAAAGTCCTGCAAGTTCCTGAGGTCTGGACTGTTTTGCAAAGACGGCAACATCTGTGGGTACTGCCTTGGCCTTGGGGCCCTTATGGAGAGAGTCTCTTTTTCCACAGAGCCCTCAGCAAACCTGGCTGATGCTTCTTCCCCATAGTGGCTCCTGTTTTGCCTCACTTAATATTTTAAGCACACAGCCTAGCCCTCCTGGGCCCAGARGCTCTCTGACAGTTGAGGGGAGGCTAGGAAGGTGAAGTAGGGATAATGCCACTCCAGGAATCCATGAATATTGATTTCCTAGTTGCCTCAGGTATCACTGAATTCTGGTCCCTAGAATCTGGTCCCAGGCCCAGCATGTAACAGGTGCTGTACAAGAGTAATTGAACCCTTGAAGAGGAGGAGGAAGGCACCTGCTGCTCCCGTGGGAGCTGGAACGGGCCTCTTCTCCTAGCCTCTGCTTTTCAGAGGTAATCAGAGAGGAGCAAAGAAGAGACTTCCAGACTGCTAGAGCCCACAGGGATTTTGTGGGGTTTGTTTTTCCTCAGCACCGTCTGCTGAGGTAAGGGCATGAATAAAAGAATGAGCAAAGATTTACTCTTCCCACACCTTGGCAGTGAGCCCTGTATTTGTATAGTGGATCCAAAGAGGACAGGCTAGAACAGGTGGGAAGGAAAGTATGATTTGTTCAAGGTCTCCTTCAGGGACCCCAGGACAGCACTTAAGGTGAGACTGGGAGGGGTGTATTTAGGCCAATTCTCTAACCACCAGAGGCCAGAATGCACTCTGTCCCCCGCCCAACCTTCCCCATGTATGAGGTGGAACAGTGCACAGGGCTTTGGGCTAGCAGAATCATTAGCAGAGAGCTGGGGTCTGCAAGTCTCTTCACCTAGTGGCTGGAGTTGGGCTGACAGTGTGCTRCTAATAGGGCCCCAAAAGATAGGGCTCTGGGGTGAACTTATCATTCATGGTCTTCATAATGGGCACATCCAGGAATGACTTTTATTTTGGCCTGGTCTGGTCTGGGCCTGGTTGGGCCTGGATTGGGACTGTGACTTAGAACTTTGTAGCTGAATGTAACCTTAAACAGGGTCTATTATTACCTCCTCATGTATGTCCAAGTGTACACAATCCATATTTTGGTAACATTGCACTTTCTCCAAAGGCCATAAAAATGGCTGTACAGAGGCAATTTAAACTAGTGGTTGGAAGTAGCAGAAGAGTGGGAGGCCTGAGGGCCTGGGAAGGCCCTGGGAAAAAATTCAATCCATGTTGTGTGTGTATGTGTGCGTGCACCTGTGCGTATGTGCATGTGTGTGGGTTTGTGGGGAACTTGAAGAGCCTAAAGGAAGAGGAGGGTGGGGGAGAAGTTTGAAGAGGCTGAGGTAATGCTGTACAGAATTTCTCTCCATGAAAGAGGAAGATCTGATTCCAGTTTCCATGTGCAGGGCCCCCACCCCTTTAGCGACCCGCTTCATGGACAATGTCAGGGAAATTTTCATGTGGAGTACTATACTTCCTCACCGAAGATAGCCTCAGCCCTCAGGGGTGGCCATGCCACAGCTGCTTTCATCCCCCACCACACACACATGCAATGCCTCAGTTCTTTAGTTGGCAGGCATCAACTTGAGGAATTGATCGCAATGGTCATATATAAGAAACGCCGACCTACAACAGCAGGTGTGTGTGTGTGTGTGTGTGTGTGTGTGTGTGTGTGTGTGTGTAGGGGAGTCGTTTTCCCACAGGGCTTCTGACTCTTCTCTCAAGATGTTTAGCATTTGTAAGGCCACAGACCACATGTCTGAGTAGCTAAAATATTTTTAAATTAAAAATATTCTGTCCCCTTACCATAACAAATATATCTTTATAAGGATATGAAAGGCCAGATTCAAATTTCAAATTCTCGAATCCTTAAATTTCTGCCCAGGAGCAGAGTGGATTGGGAGTGTTGGCTTGTGGTCATATTTTCTTCCATCCATGATCCAGCATCTCTTATAAAGGGCCTTCTGTGCAGCTGTGTGGACACCCTCTTCTGCTTAGGGGTGTATTTCCCAGGTGGGTCTGTGGTGGGAAGAGGCTTGTGTAGCCTCTGGGAGCAGG